TTGATCATTTTGCCTATTCCAATAAATATTTAGCTGAGTGCATGGTGTTCGGTTCAAAATTGTTTAGATTTTATGCTGCAATTTTACTTAAAAGCTGGCAACAGAGTTTGAACTTGAATAGTGTAGTTACTGGGGTATTTCGACGCACAGTTGAAAAGTATTTTGAAGGCTCTGATCGCTGCTGTGTACAAGTTTATCACAGTTTTCAGAATTGTAGTAATATTTAGTTTCAGTTCGTGAACACTTATTTCAAATAAACTATTGTGGAGTTCTAGGATTATTTTTAAAAATGTTTCCTTACTCTTTGAAAACTATCAGAAGAGCGTTAGGTTCACTTAAGCGTTCAATTTGGTTATACCACTATTGGATTCGTATTGAATTCGCTTCTGAAATTCACTACTCGCAAACCGCTTGCTTGCGCGCGTTTTGTAATACGACAATGCTTGTGCTGTAACGCTTCACCGCTCTACAGATACGCATCGCGGTGAAGTGAAAAAAAAAAAAAAAACGCCAGCAGGAGGCGGGTTTTTTATATTCACAACATACAGTGGATTTCGAAGTGTATTTGGCCTAGAGGGAATATGCTGTCACCCGCGTCCTTCTCTTCTCATAATAAACCGGCCTCTCCCTCTTTCTGTGAATGGAATAGCTTCGCGTGTTTATAGAGCGCCACTAAGAAGATACTCGTTTGCAAGTCTATCGAGGCGCTGCTATGGATATTCGTGCTTCTCATTTCGCATAGCTATCATAATCAGTAGTGGTGGCATTCAGTACGAGTAGCCTAAGATATGCCAGAGTGAGTGCAAGCTGAGCCTGTAATGTGTGGCCGATCGAGTGACGTGCACGACGTAAGCACTCCAAGTGCTCTGACACCGGCTCTTTGAGATGCAACAAAGGCTCACCCAATTACGATTATTGTTATATATTCCCCACATAAACTCTTTACACCGTCATTTTCCATTTTTCACTGCATATATGCACCGACTTCGATGATTTCGGTGATCGTTGCAAACGAAACAGCGAGTTTTGCGGCAGCATCGACGCAGGCGTGCGCACAGCATTTCTGTAGCACCTTGGTAGCACCAACTACTTGATAGCGCCATCTTCCCATTCATCATGGGCAGTTTGCCAGTACGCGTGCGAGCGTCAATTTTGTTCTCGTCTTCGCTGCAGCGTCTGCTTCAGCTGTGCCCGCTCCCAATACACGAACCCTGCAGCATTGTCATGGGCACAACCATTTTTTCTGACGAAATTATGCATGAAACAATGAGCGCGCAGCTCCCGAGAGCCTCGTGAGACCGCCTAGCCCAGTGCATTGTGGGGGGGGGGTCTATCCGCTCGCCTTTGTAAACCCGCAGCCCAACCATGGAGGAAGGAAAAACTGAGGAGAGGCCCTATTGTATCCCAATGCATTGCGAGAGGTGTGACGGAAGTGACGTCAAATTTACGGGGCAAATAAACAGGTATGGGGCAAACAAAACAGCAGGCGCTCCGCGGCGTGCTCTCAGCGCTTGTTCGCTTCTGCGAGGACTTATAGTCCCTATGTAAACTTAACGCGTATTGTATGGTTTGAATGCAGTAAAATGTTGTGAGCACACCTTTTCCAGGCTGCTCGTGCGTGGCAGGCTTGCGCGCGGCATGCTGAAATACTTCGTAGAGTGTGCACCGGTACGTGTCGTAATCAAAATCATTCAGCCACTGCATCATGGTATTCGAACTCACCCGGCAGTGACTTATGCGTTCTGCTCGCTGTAAGGCCTTTTTTTTTTTTTTTTGGCGAGATTTCCCGATTTACAAGCCGATTCGCAGTTCTTTGCTCGTATATAGCGTCAGTGTAGCAACGCACGATTTTGAGAGCTTGCTTCGTAGCTATTCTGTGCAACGACAGCCTAGTACTTGAGATACTTCACGTTGATAAGAAGGCACCCCTGTATTGTATACGCCATTGTGCACGTAAATTGTGTAATTCCAGTGTGCAAACAACTTACACACAGTGAGTGCACATCGTACAATACATACACATTTAGTCCGATAAGAAAAGTTTATTGTCCTTCCGTATGAACGACACAACTAAAAACGCGACACGATGCCTACAACACTAAAAACAAAAGTTTGTGTGTGTTTCTCAGTTGACACAATGAGTAAGAACCAACGGAGAGCGTACAGCTGAGAGCTCCGCATGCAAATACCATGCATTATTGATCAACAAAGAAACGAACATACGTGAAAAGTGACACCAGGTACATGCGGCGGTGCACGCGATTCGCACCGAGAATACACTACAGTTGGGCATCGTACAGCTTTTTTAACAAACACGCAAAACAAGGAGCACTGGCGAATTGACTTGCTGCCGGCAGAGAAGAGAGAACACCTACCACTCCGCCAGTGCCACTTCCAAGGTCGCTGCAGCGGCTGCTCGCCAGAAATTGCGAAGTGTTTATCTGCTTCTCCGCTAGGAGCTAGTGCGGGTGTTTGCGATGCGGTGGGTTCATGAATATGACGTCATGGCCTCTCCTTAGTTTTTCCTTCTTTTATGAGCCCGGCCGTGCTATAGGGGGGCATTCATTTGACGTTATCTACAAGGTGCGCTAGCATCGTTCCAGGATGCCACCATCTTGGCGGTCTCGGTCGTCTGATGTGGCTGCGGTGACAGTGGGATGCTGTCTGTCTGTTTTTCTGTTTTCTTGATGCGCCTATGGAATAATAAATTTAGGCGCTATGCATGTGAGTGAGATGAACCTGCACGATAGCACTACCTGGATTAAGTGCGTCCGTGCGGCGGCATAGACCCACTAGAACTTCAACACGCTGAACTCCAACTGCCCCCGCGGGTCAACTTCACTGACATAAAAACGACTACCTTGGTCACGCAACAAGTTTTGTCTCGTGTTAGCCACTAAAAGCTTACAAATTCACGGAGGGTCACAACTGTTTTACATACGAACGCATGCAGCAGCCGGGCTTAAAGGTTTTTCCAAGAAAACAAGATTGTAGTGGTAGCCGCAAAGGTAAACAGACTTCTCTCGTCTACTGTGATTGTGGTTATGGTGCAGTGCGAGCATTGTGTGGATACTGTAAACACGGTAATGAGGTGTAATTGCTGGAAAGAGATCACAGTGATTGCTGCAGTGGCTGTTCTCTTCTCAACAACCGCTGCGTACCGTGCTCATTTGTAGCCGAGTGATCACAGCTGTTTAGTGCAGATGTGAAAGTTCCATCGTAAAGCACGATCGCTATTCTCAGAAAGGTGAGCTGACTTTTCGTTTATTTTTAATCGCGTTTGTTCTGTCGTGCTAGGGCCAGTGAATCTGGTAGCATGGTCACGGAATGGCATGGCAGGATGTCTCGACGGTTCATGCAGTGAAAGCACTCCAGCCTTTGCCGATATTCTGTCATTGACTTTTCAGCACCTTTGGTGGCAAAAAAAAAAAAAAAAAAAACATGCCGAGGCGTAATTCCGATTGCACAGGCTTCTTTCTCGCGTGGTTGTTACAAACAAATACGCAGCAGTTCATCAACGTCGCTCCTGGCTGCCGTACAACCATGGCATGTACCGTCTCTCCGCAAACACAAATAAACTTGTTGAAATATTTTCCATGTAGTACTGATGCGTGTGCGCTAAGGTGGCCAGCTTGCACAGTAAAGACATCCGACACTTCTCCTAGGTTGTGTGGACATTGAAGACAGAAAGCGCACACAGAATGAATACCCCAGTACTGCGCTCACGAACTCGCAAACGTCCGGACCGCCGAAATGGTGTTTCTGCCCGACGATGCTATCGCCACCTCGCGGATCGAGGTTTATTGCATACCACCTATACCAAAATAGCTCTGCCTTTGCATCGCCTGGCTGCAGGGAGCATGGCGTGGAGTAATGGTTGGCTGTAGCTCGGCGTTATCTATTTACGCTTGCCCCAGGAAAAATCGTGGCTGGCGAACAGCGTGTGCGTTGCTTTTTCATTTAGTTGGGCAGTGGCATTCTATGTTTTCACATGCCGCGAGTGGATGAAAAATTGAGGAGGCACTGTCTTGGGCTAAGTTTGACGTTCATTCAGTGGAGGCCCTCCTGACTGTCACGCCACTTTCTCAAATTCCGCTGTAAATAGGTTTGTTTAAACATTGATCAAGGACATCACTAGTCACAATGGAGATGTATAGCATCAGTGTTTGTGTGTTAACGTTAAACGGTGCCATAGCTGTCAAATTTGGAGAGACATTGTGCAAGCTACTTTATATCATTCAACTAATTCTGTACCGAACAAGTTTCACTTTATTCCTATAAAGGCGGGATTGAACAACATTTTTCAAGAACTTTGATGTAGTGCTCACATTGGTGAATATTGGAAGTTTGAGGCAGATCACAATAATGTGTATGTATTGGAGCCGCAGGACTTGGGAAGTTTAAAATGTCATTCCTCATGGCTAATCAGTTCTTAAAGAAAAAAAATAGAAAGAAAGAAAGAAAAAAAGCAAAAGCTGGCAGTTTTTGTAAGTGTCATGTCCTGTCCAGAAGCTTCAAACAGTGTTAGCTTACTGTTTATGCATTTGTTTTATATACAAAAAAGACATTTCTTGTAGTCCTAAAATTTTGTATATTTGTGTATTCATAATAGCACATGGTATATGAAAATGGCATGTTCACACCCACAACTGGACCAATTTTTTCGTCAAAGTTCTCTCAGTGACATGTTTGCATAACCAGTTCAATCTAATATAACAAAGTAAGGCACAGGTAGTCTAAATTATACAAATACAGAGCATGCACTAATATTTGTTGAGACAAACCTGTGCATTATATTTTTATAGTCATGTGCAACTCATTGGCAATGTGTAAACATCGTCCCGAAAAGCTGCACCACTATTGTGTTTCAGATTTTTGCCTAATAGCACTGTCCTTTTGTGGATTACAGGAGCATAAGAGGGACAAGTTCAAATCAAAATTTCATTATGCAGTTGAGGATCATCATGCCTGTTTGAAAATTGTGTTTGTTTTTGTTATAGGCTTCGTGATGAAGCTAGTGGTGAAGATATTCCTGAAGCTAGGGATTTGGAACAGGGCATGGACCTACCGGTGTCTGTCTCCCCATCACATCTAGACTTCTACGTAGATGAGAAGAATGGAGACACACTGCTGCTCTCGTTGTTCAATGTCAGTCAACAGACGGTATACTTTCAGTGTGAGTACTTGTTTCTTCACTTTTTTCACTTGGATGATTAAACGTGCACTTTTGATGTATAACCTTATCCTTGTGACTTGTTCGGAGTCAGGGTTTCTCATGCAACAAGAGACAGTTATGCAGGTTAATTATACTTAATTCAAGAACAGTGCAGTGATGGCATAAACAGGTAAAAAGACAACAGGACAGTTCCTATTCTGCTTTCTTTTTTCCTTTCCATCTGTTTTTTGTGTCATTCTTGTTGAGGTACTTTTCTGACTGACACTTTCAATTTTTAAGATTGAAGTATTTCTTTTATTTATTTATTTTTTTATTGCATACCTGCATTGCCCCAGGGGGCATTACAGCAGGGGGGTTACAGTCAGAAAGAAACAAGGTAAACACATTTGTCAAACGGTAAAACACATCATTGTCCAAAATGTTTGCAATATGAGGTGAAAGAGCATGCCATTTTCTTGTGGCTCTTGTAAAAAAAGTATGCCTGAAGACTATGAGAGGAAATTTATGAACCTTCAATGCATGGTTGTGTCTCAATAACACAGGAGTAGGTAACTTAGTATACTTTTCTCACTCAATGCCGTTTTTACAATGGTAAACAGCATGAGAAAATTTCAGGTATAGGTTTATTCTGTGATCTTGCAAAGCCTGCCACAATAATTTAGGTTTGCTTTTTGTCATGCTTATTGCTCTACTGTAATTGTCCAATACGAATCATACCACCTTATTTAGCACCTTTTCAAGCTGCTTCGAGAGAACAGCTTTGTGTGAATCCCAACAAACACAACACTAATCAAATGAACTGTGAACATACACAAAATACAGCTACTCTTTCATTTTTTTCCGTTAACTGACTGAAATTACGGCAAACCAACATATTAAACTCCATCTTATGCTTAATGTGTGAACTGTGTCTATCCACCTTAATTCAGATGTTATAAAAATGCCTTGATATTTATATTCTTCAGCTTTCCTTAAGGTCATATTGCTACATGCATGTATATTGATATTCTAGGGGGCGACACGCGTGTGTGCCTGACAAGAAAGACGAAGAGTTGTGTCCGCTCCTCGATCGCTGGTGAACCGGTTACGCCATTACCGCTTGTTTTTAATATATATAATCCCCAGCCTCGGCGTTACGGCGTCTCTCCTTTTCCACAACATATTTGGTGAAGGTGGAACGTTCCCCGTCTTCACCACGAAGCTTCGCAGTGGCCGCACCGTTCAGTCTGGCCATGGCTACCAATGACAATAGCCCGTCAGAATCTCCATCTGTAGCTCCAGCCACTACATACCTGACGATGCCCACCCCCCGTGATCCCGGTACATTCTCTGCACAACCTGGGCTTGACGTTGACTACTGGCTCCGTATGTACGAGCGTGTTAGCCAGACGCACTGATGGGACCTTACCATGATGCTCGTCAATGTCATATTTTACTTGGACGGCACCCCACGGACGCCCATGAGACCGAGCTCACCAGCTAGGATACCTTCAAGGAGCGACTACGCGACATTTTTGGAGACCCATCCGGTCGCCAAATGGAAGCGTGAAAAGAACTCGTCACTCGTGTGCAATCCTCAACAGAGTCGTATGTCTCGTACATACAGGACGTGCTCGCGTTGTGCCGAAGTGTCGAGAAGCAAATGACAGAGAGTGACAAGGTGGGCCACATACTAAAGGGCATCGCGAACTACGCCTTCAATTTGCTCGTCTACACTAACGTCACGACTGTAGATATGACTATCAAGGAATGCCGCCGTTTCGAAATGGCCAAAAGCCGCCATGTTCTGCCTCAGTTTACGCGGCTACCAAACACGGCTGTTACATCCACTTGCACCGATTTCGGTGCCGCACCACCCATGCAGGACAGCGTGACACGAATAGTTCGACGGGAGCTTGAGGCGTCAAGTCCGGCACCATTTCCTCCACATCCGCTCGATCATGGCGCCGCAGAAACGCCTCCGCCGGTCTCCGTTATTCAAGCCGTCGTGAGGCAGGAAATTGCAAAGCTTGGTTTTCCTGTGGCCTGCTCTGTGTCCCGACCCGTCTCCAGACCAATGACAACAAATGCACCACATTTTATTCCGCGATCCCGCAATCCGGCGGAATGGAGAACTGCAGACGACAAGCCGACTTGCTTCCGCTGCCACCGAGTTAGTCATATATCCCGCTACTTCTGCAGCACATAGACGCCCTCAAACTGGAGCCCATTTTCTTCTACTCGACCATACGAGGACTCTCGTCGGTATTCGCCCAGTCTTGTGTACCCTTTTTTCGACATCCCTAACAGCCGCTCCACTGCTCGTTCGCAGTCACCTCAACGCCGCCGTTCCCCATCGCCCCAACCACGCCGCTATCCGTCGCCGGTCAACTACGGATCCTCTCGGGCGGAAAACTAGATCGTGCAGCTCCTCTGAGAAGTAGTGCTGCATCACTTGTGACTGATCCAAATCCTCCGTTGACGCTCCCCACTAATACGAACTTTATTGAGGTGTATGTGGACGACATTTCTTCGATAGCGTTAGTCGATACCGGAGCTCAAGTGTCCATAATGAGTGCTCATTTGTGTCGCCTGCTCAAAAAAGTTCTCACACCTGCAGAAACTAAACCCCTCCGTGTCGCTGATGGTGGAACTGTGGCCATCACTGGAATGTGCACCGCTCGTGTTGGTATTGCTGGCCACCATGTCCCCGTTTTATTTACGATGCTTGAAAATTGCCCGCACGCCCTAATCTTCGGCATGGACTTCCTATCGACGCATTCTGCCCTGATAGATTGTGCCGCCGGTACTCTGTGCCTAGAACTTCTTCTTCTTCCGGATTCTCACCCTGAACTCCCGAACAACCTGTGTACCACTGACTTCTTCCGGATACTTTTGTTTTTTTTTTGTTTTTTTTAATTGTTTATTTGATACCCACAGCGCCATAAGGCATTACAGGGGGGGGAATACAACATAGTTACACGACAGAACACAAGCTCAATTTGCGGCAAGTACAGTACAGCCTATCTAGATAGTAGGAAGTACACTGAATACATAACGTTACGGAGATTGACAAAAATGTACAAGAAATGCCAGCGGCTAACATACAGTAAGACAAAAACAAATACAATATGTATACCACACAACAAGACACCCGTCATCAACTGAACAATTTACTTGACTCTAACAAAGGAAAAAATGAATCGCTACCAACAGCGACAACGATCGCTGAAGGTAATCGATTCCACCTAAAGCTCTCACATACGTCGAATTGGCAACACCCTCTCCCGTGCGCGACGGTGATTATATTGTGACGCCGATTACTGATGTTCTCTTGGCGCGTGACATTACTGTCCCACACTCCGTTGTAAGCATGGCCTCTAACCGAATATATTTACCTGTTATCAATTTCGGTTTCATAAAACATGTGCTACCCCAAGGAATTTCGGTCGCCACGCTAAGGCCCTTAATTGACGATTGCGTCACCTGTTTTACAGCAGACGTATGTCCCGAGCACTCACACCAATCGCAGGATGCCACGTGCCTCGATGCGACCTTATGCTCCATGATCGCCCCGGACCTCAAACCTGAGAAGTCAACCACGCTATGCTGTCTTCTGGCTTCATACCGCGACATATTCGACATCGACAGCCGTCCACTCGGCCAGACTTCACTCGTCAAGCACCGCATTAACACAGGCGATTCTCATCCCATTTATCGGCGACCATACCAGGTGTCTGCCACCGAGCGTAAAGTAATTTAACAAGAAGTCACCAAGATGTTAGCTAAAGGAATTATTGAACCCTCTTTGAGCCCTTGGGCATCCCCCGTTGTGCTCGTTAAAAATAAAGATGGCACGTGGCGCTTCTGCGTGGATTACCGTCATCTGAATAGAATCATGAAAAAGGACGTGTACCCTTTACCCCGCATCAATGACGCTCTTGATTGTCTCCACGGCACTCGATACTTTTCTACAATAGACCTACGTTCCGGCTATTTGCAGATTGCTGTTGACGAGAAAGACCAAGAGAAGACTGCATTTGTAACTCCAGACGGCCTATATCAGTTCGAGGTTATGCCATTTGGGCTATGCTACGCCCCAGCCACGTTCGAGCGCATGATGGACTCTCTGCTACAAGGGTTCAAATGGTCAACATATCTTTGTTATATTGACGATGTCGTATATTCCCCAACATTTGAGACCCACCTTCAGCGTTTGTCAGCTATTCTCGACATATTCCGCACTGCAGGCCTCCAATTGAACTCGTCGAAGTGCCGCTTTGGACGCCGGCAAATGACAATGTTGGGCCACCGTGTTGACGCATCTGGTGTGCAGCCGGACCCGGAGAAAATTTGTGCAGTCCCCAGTTTTCCTGTACCCCGGTCATTTAAAGACGTCCGGAGTTTTGTAGGACTTTGTTCCTACTTTAGAAGGTTTGTGAAAGGTTTCGCAACCATCGTTCGACCTCTCACTGGGCTTCTTAAAAAAGACTTCATGTTTACGTGGGGTACCGACCAGCTTTTCTCATCTAATCACGCTTCTGACGACTCCACCTTTATTGGCTCACTTTGACCCATCCGCTCCGACAGAAGTCCGAACTGATGCTAGTGGTCACGGCATTGGAGCTGTCCTAGCCCAACGCCAATGGGGACACGACCGAGTTGTCGCCTACGCTAGCGGCCTCCTCACAGCTGCTGAACGCAACTATTCCATTACAGAGCGTGAGTGTCTCGCTCTTGTTTGGGCAGTATCAAAGTTCCGCCCATATTTATATGGCACAAATTTCTCTGTAATAACTGACTATCATGCGCTATGTTGGCTTACGTCACTGAAGGATCCTACTGGCCGGCTCGGGCGCTGGGCTCTGCAACTGCAAGAGTATACCTACACGGTGACGTACAAGTCCGGATGCCTACATCAGGACGCAGACTGTCTATCCCGCTACCCGGTTGCTGAGTCGAGCGCTATACTTGACACCGACACCGGCACTTGCGTCTTTTCTCTTTTGCAAATGACATGC